AAGCAAAGAGAAGGGAATAAGAAGAATTCAATGTTTCCTATATATTCATGGCATCTTCCATTATTGTTAAATAGTCTATTCTTAAATAACGATCCATTGTTAAATAATCCATTAGTTATGAAAATTATAAAAAAAATCTAGAAAATATTCTACCAAAAATTATGAAATAATTATTTCAGAAGTAATCCATTAGTTAACAAACATTAAAAAATTTAATAATCTACCAACAATTAATAAACAATCCATTATTTAATAAATTTTGTTAATAATAAATGTTCAAAATTTCAATGTTTAGCATAATTTACATTAATCATTATAATTTAATAAATTTTCATTAAATTTTTACAACAATAGTTTATTGATAATAGATATTACTAATCAATGCAATTTATTAATTTCTATAAAATCAATGATTATAGTTAACAATTATCAAATAATTTATGAAAACTCTAACTAATAATCCATAATTATTTTCAAATAAGTAATTAAAAATAAATAAAAAATTAACCTATAACAAACATATTTTCCAAAACTATTTAGATAATAATCCATTATTATTGTTTAACTAATAATTATTAAAAACTTTAGTAAAATTAAATTAGGAAACTAATCTATCAGAAATTGTTCCATAATTATTTAAATAACAATCCATTGTTATTATTATTTCAATAAATAATTATCATTAAGTCTATCCACACCAATCTATACCACTTGGTTGGCTTTGATCATACTTGGTTTTACTTTAATTAACAACAAATGGTTTAATTTTAATTAAAAATAATGTAATTTACCATAATTACATTAATTTACTATAATTACACTTACATTGATTAAAAGTAAAATAATTTAGGATTAAAAAATAAATAGTTTACATTAATTTATTGTTATTATAAATAATTAGTTTACTATACATTACTACTAATTAATAGCAATTTTAATTATTTTTTTGGTAATTATCATAAAATATTGTAATCTAGTGTTATTTACTTTACTGTTAGTTAATTAGTTATAGAAATTTATTAGAATTGTAGGGATGACAATTTTCCCTATAAAACCGAATGGAGCAAGTTTTCTTAAATGGTGAAGGGGCAGAGACAGAGTAGAGATAGGGAAAATAATTTTTCCCCAAATTAGGGATGGGGTTTACATATAATTCCCCAAATCCGATGGTAAATTAGTAAAATATTTGAAGATTTAATATAAATTTTTAAAATATCTCTAAGTTTTCCTCATATTCTTATAATCCTAGGATCCAACAATTTCATTTATAAAATGTCCCAAATTCACATAATTTTATTTGTAAAATATCCATAAGTGGGTTTCCAGAGCGGTGCAAACTTGTTCCGGCAACGGGAAGGGTTCGTATCAAATGAACTGGCGAGCAAATGAGAGATGGTAGAAATTAAGAACGAAGTGAAGTGATGACTGATGAAGGTTAAGAAGGAGGGATGGGTGGTGTTTCTATAGCGGTTTTGCGACCACCATGGTCCATGGTGTGGAGTGGTCAGTGGATGATTTTTGATGGATTCCAACTTCCAAGTGGAAGTGGTTTTGCCTACGGTGAAAGTTTTGAGGAAGCTGGTTTTGTTTCAGAAGAATAAAGAAGCGGTTTTGGATTTATTTTGCAAAGGAAAGACTTGAAAAATTACGAAATGTAGTCACGAATCCACCATTAAAACGACAAGAAACTAGGCTGTTTCCTTCCTGTGAATGGACGTGGGGTACCTCCTGATCATCCTGAGGCCTAAGTTAACTCCTGAGAATAACAAATAAGAATAGGACTGAACTGAAGTTGCCTTAAAACGGCAAGTAACAGTTAGATAAGAGACCCATATGACCCTAACCCTGCTGAAAATGGTGCACCAAAGACCAACCCAGACCGAGCTGATGAAGCAAGCAACCATCGGAAGGGCTTAAACGCAGTCAGTGTCCCTATTTGCCATGGTTGCTTTGCTCCATTAAACAGATGGTCTTAAACTCTTTGTCCTCCCGCTGGCCATGGTGGTGGCCAATGGCGAGCCCTTTGGACTCTGTTTCATTTTCTTGAGAAAGAAGATGATGAACAATATATTTTATTTTCAAGGGTAATTTTAACATTTTCAAAAGTCTTAAATCGCACATGAGGTCACATGATATACATAACTGATGGTCCATTAACGGTAGGTACTAGATTGTCATAAAATGAAAGTCTGGGTACTAGATTGTCGCATCTTAAAGTTCGGGTACTAAATTGACACTTGGCCTAAAGTACAGGTACCTGTCGGGAATTTTCCCTAATTTTTATCCCATTTCTATCATTAATGAAAATAATGCTCATTAATCACACTTTTTTATATGATGAATATATAATATTATAGAATGTATCCAAAATTTTCAATAAATTTCTACATTTTCAAGAATTTTATGTATTTTATTATTTAATAATAACATCCATTTGACATGGATAGTTTAACCACTAACCCATCACTTGGATGAAAAAACCATTTGACATGATATTTTAAATCGTGTATTCCATTTTCATCATCGATAAAAATAATTCTTATTTTCACTTTTATTTTTGTTTAATATGGTGAATATATAACAATGGAATTGTATCAAAATGCTTTATACAAAGCTTATATTTTTCTGAGTTTATGTATGTATGTATCTATTTAATATTCGTTACTTAGTTATGACATCATAGATTGACCCATTTGACCTGTAATGTTAGATCATTGACCTACCTATCATCTAGATATGTAAATTGTTTCATTTTCAACCTGGTTTTAAATTTTGCATTTCATTTATATCATTGATAAAATAATTATTATTTTTCATACTTATTTTTGTTTATATTATTATTAAATAATATTATAGATGTGCCCAAAATTATTTCATATTTTTTGTACTATTCCATTTTAAAAAAATTATTTTTAATTATACATCATGGGTTAACCTATTTGACCTGAAAGGTTGAACCACTAACCCACTCCCTAAATAAAAAGATGGTTTAATTTTCCATCGGTTTTAAGTTGTATATTTGATGTCCATCATTAATAAAATTGTGTCTATTTTATAATAGTTATTTTTTAATATGACAAATATATAATAATAGAAATGTGTCCAACTTTTTTCAATTTTTTTTCTACATTTTTTGTATTTCTTATATTCTAAATTCGTATTATTTATTTATGACATCATGAAATTATCCATTTGACCCAAGTGGTTGAAGCACTTACATACGACCTAGATGGAAAATATGATTTCATTTTTAGGTTTATTTTAAAAATATAAAATTTCATTTTATTAATAATTATTGTGTATAAATTTATTAGTGGAATTTAATGATGGTAAACAAAAGCATTTTTTATATTTCTAAATTTTTATTATTTATTTATGACATCATGAAATTATCCATTTGACCCAAATGGTTGAACTACTTACCCACCAACTAGATGAAAAAAATGATTTCATTTCTATGTTTATTTTAAAAATATAAAATTTTATTCTATAAATAATTATTGTGTATGGATTTATTAGTGGAATTTAATGATAATAAACAAAAGTATAAATGTTGGATTCAACGAGAGAGAATGTGATTTATTTAATGACTTAAATATGAGACTTAATAAGAGGCAATTGAATGTACTTAATGGTATTCTTTTTATAGATAAGTCATTTTATTTATGATATATAATTAAAATCAAAGTCAATTCTAATTCATCATCAATTTATTAATATATATATATATATATATATATATATATATATATATATATATATATATATCAACACTACTAAATTTACGAAAATTAAATTTGATCTGAAATCAATGGATAAGATTCGATTTGAAACCAATCCTATAAAACGTTTACTTAATTCAAAGCAGAAGTAGCCCAATAGGAAAAGTAGTGCTATATATATATAGCGGAGTATGAATGAAATAATTAATCAACCAATTACAAGCATAGGCATTTACCAATTAACCTTAAACTGTATGTGCATTTGCTTACAGTCAAAAACCTTTTATAAATGGATCAGATGTTGGATTCGGTCCAATCCGATCCAGTCGAATGTGAGTCCATTATAAATGGACCAGGTCTAATCCAGTTTAATGAATACTTGGACCATTGTGGATCAGTTCAATTCAATGTCTTGACTGTCCAATCTGTTTAAATTCGTTTTGATTTGGATTGGTTTYAACGCAAATTCAGTCCATTGACACCTATATTCTTATCTTATATCAATGGATCAGATATTGGCTTAGTCCAACCCAATCCAATATATTTTTATTATGGACGGAGTAGGTCCAATCCAATTTAATAAATATTTTGGACCGAATTATTGATCCATCCAATATGTCTTATTGGTCCGCCCAATCTGTCCAAATTGATTTTAGACTGGACGAGGTCCAATCCAAAACTGGTCCATTAATGATAAATAGAGAACATGCTTCATTCATTTTGTTGAAATTAGAGTTGGTCTACAATGAGACCAAAAAAAATTATATGTGAAAATGCAAAGAAGGCTACAGGAAGAAAGCTAGGCAACAAGTATACGTAAAGAAGTCGAACGCCAATGTATATAATATGACCACCTGAACTAACTAGTAGAATGTATACAATTCCAAATTCCAAAATTGGGTCAACACCTAACCCAGTTAGGCAATTGAACTTGTTTTGTAATTGTTAACACATCCCATTTACTCGGTCATGGGGGGTTTTGTATATATATATATATATCTATATTTTTTTTTTCCGAAATATAAAATATTGAGCATGACGTGTCACGGTTATACCTATTCATCCAGATCCAGATGATTGAACCAACAGTGACCCCATGATAAAAATGATTCAGCCTCTGGGCCAGGTTATAAAACATTGTATATGAATGGTGATATCTTTAATTTTCACTTTCTATGAAATAAATCGAATAACATTAATTATTATTATTATTACTGTAATCACTACTATTCTTATTCAGATGGAATAAGAGATATATAATTAAGCAATATAACATTATATATGAATATAAATAAATAATCAATGTCAAGAATACTGAATAAGGACGAAAACTGGAATCATCCCAAGTAGTATTAGCAAACTTTCGCTCTTCTTACTCGATGGTGGTGAATTTGAAGTCCTATTATTGGAAGGCTTACATGGCTGAGAAGCACAGGTACCTGATGAATAATCAGAAACTCTGCAACATTAAAGAAATAAGTGAAAGTTATGTCACTAGTAAATTAGTACGTAATTAACAAAATAATATACTGATAACGTACGATGAGAAAATAATAATCAGAGTCTGAATCGATCCACTTACTTCAACTTTAAGTTGTTATTGTTGGTGAGTGAAGCTGGTATTGATCCACTAAATGTGTTATTTTCTAGGTTTCTTTGACAAAGAAGAGAGAATAAAGGGGTAAGAGAAAAAACAATAAGAATATATACGTTTCTGCCTATTGTATATTTTTTGAAAATATGAGTTAACGCATGAAATATGCAGAAGAAATTAATGTTTCCCAAAAACGACTTACAGGGAGTTGAGGTTGGGAAAATCTCCCAAGAAATCAGGGATTTTTCCAGTTAGAAGGTTGTTATGCAAGTCTCTGGAAGCCATTAACAAATAAACAGAGAAAATACAAGATCAATAGAAATTTACACTTTAATTCTATTCATCTGTGTAACCAGTACTTCTATCAGTTGCAATTTTCACTTACATCTGTTGAAGGGCATCCAAGGCACTAAAATCTGGTAGGGATCCTTTCAGTCCAAGGTCATTGAGTTTCCTAAATAAAAAAGAAAAGAAAAGGAAAGATAATTTACTTCTCATCACAAACATCCTATAAATCTTGATAAAGAAAAACAATTGATAAAAGTCATTTTTAATTAAAAATTATTCTTGCATATTTTGATAATTTTCTTAATATGAAATTAAATTGAATATAGGTAGAGGTGTGCAATAATAGATATATATATATATATATAAGCAGAAACCCTTTTGAACTAAACCTTGTTTTATGAACAGAGAGTGAAACTCTGAGTCTATTATAGGAGTACTCAAATTAAATAACAACAGTATTAGAAGATAGTAAGACATGAATTTCAAGAATGATTTGAAGGAAAGTAGATTTACAGTCTTGTTATTCGGGGTGTATTCTGATAACTACATTCAACCCAATCCCACGTAAATTTCTCTGGAAGACAAGGGTCGCCACTCCATTCTTGAAGTTGAGTAAAGGTCTTCTGTAACAACGCTAATGCTCTTACTGTCATAACAAAAGCAAAATGCACCCAAATTATAAGTTTCAATTTCTACCTGTCTCAAGACATCATAATATTTATATGATCATCAATTAATTCAAAGACTCCTACGGGCATTAAGAGAGTCTAATAATCGTAAGGTAAAAGGAAAATTAAGTAGAGGTTGGGGATAACAAATCCTAAGTCTACAAATTGATTAGATCAGGCCACTTGGAATAGTGCACACATTGAATCATTTGTGATGGGGTTGCAAATGGAATTAATGGAATATTGGTATACCTAGGTCCTATATCATAGGCGCGACCTGGCGGCCTGGACCACACGCCAACCTGACAACCCCGAGAAGCTCACCACCGTACCTCGCATTTTACGAGATTGTGACTTGTAAYAGCTATATTAGCTCATCCGCTCCCCGATTTAGGCGGAAATGGGCAACATTACTGGTTGGTGGCTTTATCCCCACTTAACACGGAAACAGGTCCCACCACAGCAGGAATCCAGGAACTGCTCCACCAAACCCGCGAGGGCTCCAGTATATAAAGGTCTCACCCCTCAGAGGTGAGAAGGGATGGTAACCCCTGCTCTCTAGCTCTCTCATTCTCTTATATCATTTTCAACTCGCTACTAAGTGCTGACTTAGCCATCGGAGTGACTTCGCCGGGTAAACACCCCCAGGTTCTCTGATTTAGTTCTCGCAGGTCCCTCAGCTCCTGTTGCCTACAAAGATGAGCAGATCATCAMCAGCACGGAGTAGCCAATTCAGTTCCCGTCGCTACTGGTAGCCAGATCATCTCCAACAGGGAGCAGYAGGGTTGCACTACGCTAGGGAGCTCCACTTCGGCCCCTGAGTCATAGGCCACTTTGGAGTAGACTAGCTGACGAGGTACTTAGTCAAAAAATTGATACACCACCAGAAACAGTTACATCAGTTTGGATATTGGTTCAACACAAGCTAATCTAATACAAATCGGTTACATATGGGCTAGGTCCAATTCAATCCAATAAATAGTTTGGACCATTAATTCTAGATTTGTCAAACTCAATGTCTTGTTGAACTGTACAACCTGTTCAGAGTCAACCCAAACCCGGTCCATTAACAGCCTAGCCATGATCAGCTTGTATCTATACCCTCTGTTTTTTATTTGAATTAGCTGAACAGCCATAGGATGTGGAAATCGACCTGCTTACACTAATTAACAAAAAGCAAAAATTGTGAAAGGAAAAAATAACGGATGACATCAATGAAAACATTGTAAATAAAACTTCATAACTAGGGAATAGGGAATAGGGATTGAAGACCAACCGTCCTTATTGAGGGTTCCATTAGTGAGCGAAGGACCGACACTAAAAAGCTCCAATGCATTGATTAATGGCGGAAGAGCAGAATCTGATGAGGATCTTAAAGAGAAGACTGTTCCAGAAGATGCTTTCGCCACAACGTACTTGTACGCGGCACCACCATATTGTAGGGTTATGGGATCAAAACTTGCCTCCTCGTTGATGTAAAGGAAGAAAGTTCGGTCAGAATTGGACTGATCAAGCAATTCGACGAAGTAGAGAATAATGTAGATGGTGATCTCGGTCTTTGGAAAATAAAGATTGAGGTCAAGGGTGGCTGAGTTATCGGTGGTCATTGCTGTTAGTAATGCGGATCTCGGAGGTTTGTTTGAGAATTCCACAACCGTGTTCAGCGAATCCCTCTTAACAGTGCTCAGTCTATTCCCTCCTTTGTCCGGAAACCAAAAACGATCATATGGGTCATCAGGGTACCTATATGATCAGAACCACAATAGAAAAGCATCGATCGGATTGGATTCAAATGTCAAATAATTCTTCAGATATAATCGACTGGAGATGTGTATGATTACAGTTGATATCAGGCTTTTCTTGGGMAAAAATCCGCCCGGCCGGCGTAAATCAACTAGTCGAAACTTTGAAGCTTTTGAAAATTAAAAAACAGAAAAGATAAAAAAAGTTGTGGATCACATACCGCAGAATTTTGTCTCCACCATAGTTTATGCGGTCTCTTGTGAATAATGGACGACCCGAATCAATGTCACTGTAAAGGCCTAAATCTAAGCTTCTCACATTTATACCATTAATGAAGGGATACTGGTTGTCTTCTGTCTGAGCAAGACATACGCTTAAAGAATCAAACTTGGTGACGTAGATGACTTCGTAGTAAGATGGGCCTCCACTGGCATTTACACCCTTAACCCAATCGTTGCCGTCGAACTGAAGATCAAACGTCGGTGGAGACATTTTGCCGTCGTAATTTCCATAGTAGAAGTATGCACGGAGAAGGACACGCTGTCCCTTGCCTCCGGCGTTTATGGAGTAGCAGTTCTTATTTCTGGTGGGGAATACTCTGAGGGTAGAGTAGATGGGAGAAATTGATGATTCAGGAGCTGCTTGCACAGCTCGGCTTTCACCGCTTTTAATGTATTGATCATCTCCGACCCATGTTATATTATGCTTATCATCGATGAAAGACTTGGATGAGCCACAGTCTATGCTCACAAACACTGCAAAATGGGATTTCACATCAAGTAAATAAAAGGGTTTGATCATTACAGACTCTTCACATAAACACAAACACAATTAGAGAGAGAGAGAGAGAGAGAGAGGAACTCACCTACAGCCACCGTTGACGTGATGGGTAAGGCCAGAAGACCTAGAAGTATTTGCAGGAGAATTAGAACAAAGTTACTGATCATTGTGGCCGGTGATCTGTGAGAGAGAGAAGACAGATCGATGCTCGCTCTGCTCAGATATATGAAAGTTTTGTATACATTTGTTCTAGCTATATGCGATACATCACCCACTTTGACAAATTGTAGTAATTAACATACAGTAGAGTCTAAGCATTATTTGCAGACGCATGTGGAGATGCATGGATCTTCTCTTTGACAAATTAAATAGCCCGCAGTCAAGCTAGCATCCAAGTAGCAAGTTGAGAGGGGTTGCCTCAAAAAAACTCTTTGTAGGATTAATGATGTATTTATATACAAGCAACTATATATTTCTCAAATTTTAATTAATATGTAAATTAAAAAATGTTGACTAAAGGGATTGGTTAGGAATTATCTTATAAGTTGTAGCACAAACTCCGATTCAAGTGGAGGACTGTAGATGATTTTATCTAATTGAGGTCAATCTGTATCTTGTTCATAAAACAATGTTGGGTCATAGGCACCCTTCAATATATTAGGTTGAATGGATCCCAATGACAAGATTGAGATTAATCTGTTTGTTAATTAATCAACTGCACATGGCTTACCTGCAAACAAGGGTAGTAGAATAAATTGAGGAGAGTGGAATAAAACTTCACTTGATAAAAGACAAGTTATCTAAGCATAGTGTAATGGTAAATTTGTTGCCTTTTGACCCAAGGAAAGGATCCGGCTTCAATATTTTCCCCTCAACCCATGGTTGATCTGAATGGTCAAACTAATTAAGTGACCTATTACTCAACCAAGTGTTCTCGGTTTGTTTCACCCCAAACCACTTGCAAAAGATTGTTGACTTGGTCATCAACTTAATCACTAGATTGATTGAACTATTGATCCATTTAATTCAATAAATATCCACAGGTTAGACATTAATTTTCTTTTTATGCTGCTTTGTTTTTTTTTTTTTTGCACTTTTATCTATTTTCGTCATTAATAACAATAATTCTCATTTATCACATATTTTTATATAATATTAAAAATGTGTCCAAACTTTCAAAAAATATATATGATGAAATTTTCCACAATGTATTTTTTTTCTACTTATATCATTTAATTTTTGACATCATAGGTTTAACCTGGACATTTGAACTACTAACCAGGAGAAAAATGCGGTTCCAGTTGGATTTTGAAAAAAATCTAATTTTTATTAGTGTTTTTAAATTTTACCTCATTAGTAGGTCACATATTAGATATTAATTTTATTTTTCTAATTTTTTGTGTTACATTTTTATCATTACTAAAAACAATTTTTTGACATATTTGCTTTTGTTTGATATCATGAATATATAATATTAAATATATGCCCAATTTTTTTACAAAATTTATATATTTTTTTGTTGTATTTTATCTATTTTAGATTTTTTCTATTTAACTATGACATTATGGATTGGACACTTAGATGGTTACATTGCTGATCTGCCACCAAGACCTAAAAGATTAAGAGTAATTTAGTGATCATAAAGTCCAGAGACATTCAAGGTCCATTATTGTTGTTGGTGGTGTTGTTGCTACTAAATACATGCATTTTCTTTCATTAAGGAAGAAGAGAAAGATAAAAGAGGGAGATAGTTTACGCATTAATTTTAGTTGTTAGAAGGGGATTTCAATGGGTTATGTTTCGCTATGGGTTTGCCTCAACCTGAACCCAATCGTAAGCAGCAATGCAGCATCAAGTAGATATGACCAGTACTGTTTGGGTAAGATCTCAGACCAAACCGCTAAAATATGGTTTGAAAATTTTTCAAACTAAACTTTAACCAAATCAAACCGTTTTATTATAGCTTTGTGCAATTTCTAATACAGTTTGAGTCATTTTACTGGGTTTAACCCAATTAAAAAGATATGTGCTAACATGCTATACTTTACAATTTACGCTTTCCTTTGGTTTACAAAATGCAAGAAACTGAACTGAAATCATAAACGATATTTTAAAACAATCCTAAACCAAATCAAACCTTCTACATCCAAACTGCAAAATTTCAGTTTGGGTCAGTTCCATTTGGCGTGCCGGAACTTATAATTAAACACCCTTACACTTAGATTGGTATTTATAAGAAAGGTTTTAAATGGCTAAAGGCAGAGGGTGAGGCAGTTGGGTCTCAAAGGGGTGAGGCATARGCCTTAGAAACATGGAAAACAAAAAATTAAGAGCCTATATGGCTTGTTTGATATATTAGACATTGATTCATGGTTCAAATTATAGATACATCCCAATATGCTGAAAGGAGTGTATCTAATATCAATACTTTGAACCATGCACATCTTTTTTTCTTTTCAATACTTTGAAAGGAGTGTATCTAATTTTATGTTATTTAATTATTAAAAAACGAGCTTTTTAAACAACATGAAAAGGGGTATCATATCTTTTAGATGCTTTGAACCTTACATGAGATAGACTCATACGTAAGTAGTTTTTTTCCCAAAAATCTCTTTAGGGATATGAACCAACMTGTTTTAAGAGCAAGACATTTTGTTTTGTTTGTTTCACTTGTTGTAAGCATCAAAACGAAATGCAACCCGCCTCTAATATGCAGAAGAGTTGATAAAATTTTAAAATGGGAAGGAAACAAGTCTTCCATTGCCGAAAACCGCAATCTATCTTTAACTTCAAACTGGGAGGCCTCAGAATCGTTCATGTAATGCCTCTCATGTTATAAGTGATATTAATCCAGTTTTTTAAACTGCTAAAACGTGAAATTTAATTATTTTAAAGATCACTATCTAACACCTTTATGCATTAGTGAAGAGTGACCAACTAACCATATGTGTGATGCATATGCTTTCGAAGAAATAGATTGTTAGAGCATGGGGTGAATGGGCAAGTGGATAAGAATAAATCATGAAAAATATAGAATGTGAAAAATAAAACAAGCTATTTTTTATACATTTATATATACTAGTAATTAAGCGCGTGCATTGCACGTGAGAATTTTTCTTCATCTTAACTACTTGAATTTTAGATATACATCATAGTTAAGGTAGAAATTAAAAATTAATAAAAGTAACATTATAATTAAAACTAAACGTAAATGCTTGTTGTAAATGTCCAAATGCACGTGGAAATTTTAAATTATAATAACACTTATTATTATTATTATTATTATAGTAGTAACTTTTTTGTATTCCATTTATATCATAATAAAAATAATTTTTATTTTAACAATTATGTTTATTTAATATAATGAATATAGAACATTAGAAATGTTTCCAAATGTTTTCAATAAAATTCTACACTTTTTCATTTTTTGTGTTCTATGTTTTTTTTCTTTAAATATTTTATTATTCAATTATGACATCATGAGTTTCTTTGAAAAGTTGGACCATTGACCCACCATCTAAATAAGAAAATACTTTGCTTTTGGATTAGTTTTAAGTTATATATTTCATTTACAATATATAAATAATTTCTACTTATCATACTTAATTTTTGTTTGACATAATTAATATATATTTTTTTATATATTCTTTTGATTACTTGTACTTTTTAATTTTTTAAAGAATTTTTATTTAGCTATCATATTATCGATTAATCCATTTGACCCAAACCACTAACCCACCACCCAAAAAAAATTACTTTGATTTCTATGTTGACATTAAATTTGGTATTACATTTCCATCATTGATAAAATTATTTCTTATGTAAAATACTTATTTTTGTTAAATATAATGAATGTATAATATTAGATATATACCCAATATTTTATTTTTATAAATATATAACATTAGATATGTGCCTAAATGTTTCTCTATTTTTTTCTTTGTATTTTTATTTTTAAAAATTTTATTATTTGACTATGACATTGTTTCATTTCTAGGTTGATTTTAAATTTGGCATTTCATTTTCAACATTAATAAGAATACTTCTTACATTTCATAATTTTTTTTCTTAGTATAAATTAATATACAATATTAAAGATATGCCCAATTCTTTTTATTTTTATTTGTATTATATATTTAATTTATTTTATTATTTAATTATTACATTATTTATTAACCCATTTGTCCACAAATGGTAGAATTTCTTACCCACCACTAGGAGGGAAGAAAATGGTTTTGTTTTTTAATTTATTTTTTAAAATATTTATTTTTATACTATTAAAATTAATGTCATGAATTTAATTAGTAGAATTTAATGATGAGAAAAATATATCTTAAATATAGGATTTAATGAGAGAATATACCTTAGATATGATATTTAATGAGTGAAAATAGAAAAATAGTTTTATTTTCATCATTAATAAAATCATTTCTTATTTATCATACTTATTCTTGTTTAATATGCAAAATATATGATGTTAAAAATGTTCTCATTTTTTTAATTTCTGTATTTTTGCATTTTATCTATTTTTGAATTTTATTATTTAATTGTGACAACATGGATTGTCCCATTTGACAAAAAATGATTTAATTTCTTATAACCACCTAGACGAAAACACTTTTTTCAAGGTATACTTTAAAAGTATAAGTTTTTGTGTTATTAAAATTATCAATTTATTATATATGGATTTAATTAATAGAATTTAATGATGAGAAGAAACAAAAATGCCCTAATTATAGGATTCAATGAAGGTGAATGCAAGTTAATACCTTAAATTTTGGGTTTAACGAGAGGGAATTGAATGCATTGAATATCTTAAAATTACCTCTTTATATCAATAGCCAATTACCGTATTTGCCCTATTTTTTATGAATAAATTTAAATATGGAGGGATAAATTTTATCGTCAAAATATTCAAGAAAAATTATTGAGGCTATTTGTACTTTTTAAAGTAGTATAGATTATGTATGGATTTAATTAGTGGAATTTAGTGACGAGAATAAATAAAATGTTTTAAGTATATGATTTAATGAGGGTGAATAAGAGTTAATACCTTAAATGTGTGATTTAATGAGAAGGAATTGAATGCATTGAATAATAGCATTCAAATTACATTTTCTACCCTCACAAATAGAGGGATCATATTTTAAAAAAAGAGTATTTCAGTCAAAAAAATTCCAAAAATTTTAGAGGCTTATTCGTACTTTTTATAGTAGTATAGATATAGATATAGATTTATTTATTATTTGTTTATTTATTTATTTGTTTAATACACTAATGTATGCAAAACAAATCATTCTTTCTATTAATTACATTTCTATTTTACCCCTAGACTTACATTTTGGGGCCAAAGGCCCAAAGACATAAGCCTCAAACAAGCCTAAGCCTTAATGGTGAGGTCTGAGGCTATTGAATCCAGGCCCCTTTTTTTGCCCTCACTTCTAGGTTTACTCCTTTGACCTCGCCTCAAGTTACTTTTAAAACAATGTTTTTAAGTATATTTCAATAGATTGGATTCAGCACCGATATACCTCAATCTGAACCAACCTGTAATCCGATCTTACTGACCTGGCGCTAACCTCTGAAGTGAATTTTTATCACTTAATCGGATCCATTACATTCCTAAAACCCGACAGGAGTTGAGTTCATGTTCTTTGCATTCACCATAGAGATTATTTTGGCTTGGTTTAGTCGTTTAGGGTAGTAGACTCGTATAGCAAGCATGTTTGCATGAGGTGGTAACAACGAAAAACTATAGACATGATATCTCTCAGCCTCATGCGCCTTTGGGACCTTACGGCTACAAATGAAAATTTACTTGGATTAAAGTTTGGGATTTGTTTTTTTTTTTTAAATAAATTACTGAAGCTTCCCCTGAAGTTTTGTAATTACGTTAACCTTCCCTAGGCTCAGTTTGGAAGGAGTACAAATGCAAAACTATGTATTTTATATATATTTGTATTATACATATTTGTATTTGTACTCCTTCCAAACTGAGCCTAAAATTTTTAATATGGTATACTCCTTTTGTTACAATCACTAATAAGAGACTCGAAGTGTTCAAAATACTCATGAAATTATCATTGAATAGACTTGTTCATGGGCCGGGTAGCTCGATGGCCCGGCCCGCACTCCGGTCGGGCTTGGTCATGTAATTAGGCCCACGGGCCTAACACAGTAAGCCCGACTGTGTTTCGGGCCGGGCTCGGGATTTATCAAAAAAGCCTGGCTCGAGCCCGGCCCGGCTCGACTCGGCCCGACTCAGCATTATATATTTTATAAAATATATAATATGTATTTTATATATTATATAAATATATAAATAATATAATATTTATTAAAATATATATTTATAATTTAATATATACATTTTTTATTCTTTTCTTTATGATCTCTCTCTCTCTCTCTCTATTCAGCTACTAACAGTATGGGCTAAATTTCGGGCTCGGGCCCAGGCCCGGGCTTCGGGCATTTTATGAGGGTCGGGCTCGGGCAGGGGCCTTAGAAAATTATGTTAATGTAGAGTGAAAGCCCGGCCCAGCCCATGAACAGATCTATCATTGAAGATGGTTTAGAAAAAACACAATAATGATGTCATCGAAAAGCGCCTAAGTCTCCGGAGCAGCTCAAGCATGTCCTATAAGAGAGAAAACGAGGTCAGAGGGCCTAGGGTGATATCTCGAGCTTGTAACTCCGACAGTAAAATTAGTTATGCTGAGTTACCCAGAGGGTGGTTGGATATTCAATGAGTCATAAAGTATGAATTGAATGCTAATCTATCTCTTATATAAGATTCAGGATTCCTGTCAAAGTATATACGTGTCGGACAAGTATAGGACACTTGTCATAGCTTAAGACACCTGGAGCTTGCTTTGCCTTGGTGGAGTTCGGATAGGACACCTAGGGCTTTGTTAAGACACCTGTTACCCGAGCTTGACCACATGGTGCTCGGCTCGGACATCTGTGGCGTGATTCAGGCCATCTGGTATCTGGTCGAAACACTTGAAACCCAACACTGGCACCTGGAGCCTAATCAGGGCCACCTGTTGCATGCATCAGCCCCCTGGTGCTTAGCTGTGACATGTTGTGGCAATTTGTCCTCCATGTTTCTAATGTACGAAGTGGGCCCAAGACCGGTTAGCTGGCAAGCTATCTTATGTGTCGACGGTCTTGTGACATGTACTGCCAGGTAGTCGTTTTATGGACAAGTGTTGGAATGTGGGGAGATCTCTCGGAAGAAAGCTCGTCTCGCCTATTGTACATACGAGTTGAGTTAAGAAGTTAAAGGTGGTTTTACAGGTGATCGAGGTGACTCTTATCCTCTGAGATGATGGCATTAAGGCGAATTCTGAGTTGAAGACAATGTTGTAAATCCACCTAAACATGCCACGTGTCCAATTATTCGGAGGTCCGATTTACTCTTATCAAATAACAATAAAAAAAAGAATTTAAAGTTACACTTATCTCTTAGTGAGTGATTGATATAAAATACAAATTTGAAAAATAAATCAATTTAAAAAAAATTAAAAGGATTTGAACGAAAAGAAAATTTGAAAAATAAATATTTTGATGAAAAATAACCACATTTTTCTAACATTTTGATGCAAACTTCAAGAAAACTGATTGCAATTATCCAAAAAAAAAAAGAGAACTGATTGCAATTATCAAATTAACTGCGCAACAACCAGAAACGAGGTTTCACACCTGGCGCACCGGTCCCGGAGCAGAGCCGAAGGTGTACAAGAGAAAGAAAACAAAAATTTCCCGACTTTGTGAAAGGATGTTACCGTGGAGACCGGATTTGCTTCTCACACCTGGCGCCTCACAGGCGTCATACACGCACATCCTACCATCCATTGAAACATCTTCCGCACTTATTAATTATTATTCCCAATGCACGGTGGATGTGTATGTAAAGCGCCTAGTTGTGAGAAGCAGATCCCGTCTCGTTACCGTGTTAAGAGTCTTAGGACTTGGGGAGCGGAACTGCCGAGGAAGAAATCGTCACGAGTCAGCGCAAACCGCTCCATGCATGAATCGAGATCATCGGACTCCGACTCAGCGCAAACCGCTTTTTCGGCTTAATCCCGCAGAATCTTCTAAATTATTTAATGGGAAGAGGTTCATTAGATTATCGATTCTGTGCAATCTGTCAGACATCGTACATCTCTTTCTTTGAGAGCATTTATTTGCTTGGTTGACGTGCCACAACTTTCTCAGTTTCTTGGACACTTGTACAGTTGCACTTGCACCCAAGAAGACTTCAAGTTTTGTGCAGTAAACCAGGTATAACTACCGGTTTTTGGTAATCCAGCCATCAATGCCATTCTTAAGCAAACCCTATCTCCCAACGGTTCCCTTATAAGAGTTTGATTAGAGGTTTTGAGTTCTCTGACAAAGAAGGCGCGTGATGGATGCTCAGGGGTGATCTGTTAATGGCGTTTTCCAGACATCACTTCACCGGTAAAAGTGGAGTTTTTCTCTCAGCTTTTATACTGTTTTTCCCTTTCTATTTGAAAAACTTTGGCTAAAGTTTAGTGTGGCTTTCGCCCATCGACAGAAAAATCAATATCAAACATGTTATTTGCAGTAATGTTTGTAATCTTTAGACGGGTTTTGATGTGTTACATGAGCATTTGATCGTTTCTGGGTGGGCGGGTTGGGGAGGAGAGAGACGACGACGCAGATAGGAAAAGCAGCGTCGCAGAGATGGTGAAGAAGAACAAGGAACCCAGGAACGAAAGTGCGTTTGGATCATCATCATCAAAGAAGAACGTCAAGAGAGGAGATTGGACTGCTGAAGAGGAGCAGAAGCTCGTAGACCACGTCAGCGTTCACGGCGAAGCCAAATGGGGGTCCCTACCTGCTAAGGAAGGGAGTTTCTCCGAGGATGAGGAAGATTTGATTATTAGACTCTACAATTTGCTCGGTAGCAGGTAATTACTATCAGACTACATGTTGCCATTATCTGGTTGTGCAGCAGCAACGAGCTAGGCAAAGCAGGAAAAAGAAAAAGAGGGTAAAACAGATTGGGCTTTGGCCTGAAAATTTGGGCTTCACTTTAAATCCATCTGCTTGATTTATTTGAGGTCTTGGGTAGGCCAGGCCTAGATGATATTTTGCTCTTCCATGATATATTTATTAATTATGCAATCTATATAAGTAATTATCTTTTTATGGGATCTATATGATAAGGATCCAAAAGGATCCACATGGGCCTGGTTGGCTTCCAGTTTGATCTAGCCTACTCCTGGAGGACCAATCTGGTTTATAACCCTGGTGGACAATGCAAATTTCTGAATGTGTTTATTCATTTACTTTTGCTGTCAGATGGTCTCTAATAGCAGGGAGATTGCCGGGTCGAACAGAGAACGAAGTGAAGAATCACTGGATTCACCATTTGAATAAGAGGGTTTTGACAATTACAGAGCTAAATCAAAGGGCTGGTGGGGGTAACAGCAATTCTCAGACTTCTAATGTTCCCACAAGTGTTGCAGAGGCGTCCAACCTGAGTCCAGTAGTAGATGCTTGTTGCCCATTTGATACTATTATCAGAAGCTCTGAAGGGTCGACGCAGATGAATCCGCCCTCCGAGACTGAGAGTGAGTTGTACTTGGACATGGACGAACTCCTGGACTTCTCTGCATTGTCTGATTTACCCTGATCTGGCGCACCTGGACGACAGAGAGTTGATTGGGAGTTGATGAAAGATCACTACAGTTAATTCAAGTACAGAACTCAAGATTGTTGAATGAAGAAAACACCTTTTATATGTACTGCAGTTATAATTACTACTTCATTTTAAACCTCTTAAGGATTCATAAGTTCAGTTAAGGGATGGATTTTCTACCATCAAGCAAGCATTGAGACCAAAAGAGCTTAGGACTCTTCCACCTTGCTGACTTGCAGTTCAAGCCACGGATTAGGATTTATCACCTAACCTTTAGGCTATGTTTGGTTTGAAGGAAAAAGTAGGGAAAGGTAGGTTACCTTCCTTTTCCTTCAAACCAAACATATCCTTAATGGGGATATGATCAATCAGTTGTAGTCTTGTAGAGCAAAAACTCATTACAAAATTCCAAGATATAATGAGATTCCACGGTGGAATCTCCATTGGAGAAACAGAATTTCAAGCTCTTTGTTTACATGCTTCATTGCTAGCTAGAATCTGCTTGGTTTTATTTTTCAATACTTGGTTCGGAGTATCACTTTTTCGACATATGATGGTGGTGGTTTACAAAAGAATTCCCCAAATCCATGATTTTGAGGATAACGTAACCCAAGATTTGAGAAATTCAATCCTCTACATCTTCCTTGGTTAAACGTCCTACTTCACAAGTTTTGGACAAGTTAACATTACAAGACCCTTAGGCTGTCAATGGGTTGGGATGTAATTGGGCCAGTATCAGTTTGGTGGTTCTGAACTGATTTAGTGTGGGAGAAGTATATACATTGAGATGGGTGAAAAAAAAAAGATAGGGTTAGAAATGAAGTCATTCTGAAGGGGAAAATCTATGATAAAGGAATATGGGAAGAGAGTTTTGACCAATCAAAATCCATCCACGTTTATAATTCCAGTTGGTCGGATGTCATATCTAGGGGTGTCAATGAACCGGTTTTAGGTTGGATTCTGTCTAAATCAAAATCTATTTGGACAGACTAGACGGACCAATAAGACATTGAATTTGGATGGATTGGACGGACCAATATGACATATTGGATTGGACCTGGTCCATCCATAATGAATTTATATTGGATTGAAACAATATCTGCTCCATTGATAGAAGATAAGAATATAGGTGTCAATAGATCAGGTTTGAGTTGAAACCAATCTAAATTAATAGGAATTTGAACAGATTAGACGGTCTCTGGACCAGTTCAAAATATTTATTGGACTGGATTGGACCAGATCCATTTGTAATGGACTCACATTGGACTAGATCGTATTAGACCAAATCCARTCCAATTGACACTCCTAGCCATATCTTTTGATATCAGTGATCAATTGCAAGTAATGGGTTGGAGAGGGCCAGGGATAAATCAAAAGGTAGGTTTTATAAAGTAAAAATGATTTAAATGTTAGAAGAGAATGGCAAAATAGGATTCATGGAAACCATCCCAAATAGTTGTGGTAAAGGTTCAAATGATGAATTATAAGATGATATGCATGTATATTATAAAGATTAAAAGATACCTCAGTTTAATACCTGTTTTATTCATTGTATACTATAATATTATCATAATATAACATCAAAATGTGTTAGCAAATGAGTATGTTTGTTGTCAAAATAAATATTAAAACCAAAGCCGTTTCAATTGATAATTGAGTTGGGTTTGGTTTGGTTCTGCTATTACAAGCAAACACTTTAGGTTTGAAACCGGATCTAAACCTGACCTAGGTATACCCGCCCTGACCCATTTGGCAGTACACAGCAGACTCTTTGAATACAAGTTAGATAGAATATATCATTGTTTGAACTTTGAATACAATTAGTTCCATGCATTAGTTTATCATGAGCTCTTTCAAAATCGCAAATAGTGTTATAAAGAATATCAATAAGAGTCTTTTTTTTTTGTGGTCAAAGAATAATGGCAAATAGCCATTCCATTTAATGAGATGGGACAAGATATGCTTACCGAAAAGTTGGAGTGGGCTTAGCCTAAAAAATTATCGTGGGTGAATGAAGCTTGCTAAGCTCAGATGGAAAATCCTGAAAGATCAAAATAATTTATGGATAAAAGTGGTTACCCATAAATATTTGAGAAATTGAGACCTCTAAAATACCCCTATTAAAAAAGGTATTTCTTGGGCCTGAAGAACGATTCTTAATGCTAGAAACCTACTTAAGAGGGGTATTGGTATGGTCATTTGTAATGGGCAGAAAGTGTTTTACTAGAAAGATAAATGGATTGACCTTGGCTCTATTGAGGATATAGTGAGTAGTGATTCTCCTAATTTTGGTAATGATATCAAAGTCGAGAAATTTATAGATCACGAGAGAAAGGTGTGGAAGGAAGATAGTATCCGTAGTATTGTTCCAAATCATGTTTGGAACAATATAGACCTACTTTGATTCCTTTGGAGTCAAAGGATGATATCATTATTTGGTTAGGTGATCCCAAAGTAAATTTCACCATTAAGTCAACTTATAAGGAGGCTTGTTGCGTGGTAAAGGTAGTGAGGGTTTAAATCAGGTTCTCAATAAGGTTTGGGGCCTTAGGATTCCCCCAAAATTGAAAACATTTATATATTTTTTCTTAAATAATCGCCTTCCAACAAAGGCTATGCTCATATCTAAGGGCCTACCCATTAATGATTCTCATTATTTTTGTAGTGAAATTGAGAATTCTGAGCATATCTTTCTTAAGTATACTTTTGCTCTACAAGTGTGGCAAATGTTCAACCCCTCTATGGCGGGGCAATTTTTCAGTGGAGCTTCAACAATGGATTGGTGGTGCAATTTAAGTAATGATCCAAATATTGGGGACTGTGTGCCCTATGAGAAAATTTGTTTTATTCCGTGGTTTTTATGGAAGAATAGAAATGAAAGAATGTTCAATAATAGGTCCTCCCCCTCGGCTATTATCGAAAAAGCTCATCAAGCTTTTGAGGAATTTCAATCGGGCTCTTCCTTTGATGTTAAATCAGAAAATCCAAGAATCTAGAAAGCAGTTATGTGGAAAGGGCCAAAGGAGGGTATGATTAAGATTAGGGGTGCTCACGGTTCAGTTAACCGAATCATGGGGTACTTTTTCAAACCAAACCAATCTGATCAGTTTTTTAAATACCCAAACCGAAACTGAACCAATGCAACTAGTTAACCAATGGACTGGTTAACTGCAGTTCGGTTTTTTGGTTTTTTTATACACTTAAAATAAAAAAATCTAAAACTATTAGTGGACCAGTGGTTGTTGTCGCCTTCAGTGCTGATCATCCGTTGCTCTCCTTTTTTTGCAAGAACTATTTAGCTGGCTAGCTCCATGAATTTCATATCTGCTGATTTTAGGCCTTTACAAATGCTAGATCTATAACTTATGTGATGCAAGATACACACTCGATCATCGTCGTCATCTGCTGGGAGCTTTGGAGGGTTAGAAATGACATCATTTTTAAATGGGGAACATCGTGACCTAGTTCAGATCCTGCATTGAGCGCTTGAGAAGAGAGATGAGAGAGAGGTTGCTGTCAGTTGTCACGGTTAGAGCTTGAGAGGTGGCTCCTGGCGGAGCAACAGAGAGGAGAGATGGGGGAGAGAGAGAGAAGAGAGATGCATAAATGGTGTTGTGTTGGTGCTTGCTTGCTAGCGAGGCGACTGGCGTTGCGTCATTGCTGCTTGGTGTTGGTGGTTGGCGCCGGCCACGCAGCGAAGATGACATGCGAGATGTCGGGAAGAGAAGTAGAGAACTGAGAACTGATACTGCTAGAGGTTTACTAGTTTAGGTTTCGAATTTGAAGTTGAAGAAACAAAGTGAGAATCGAGAGAAAAGGAAAAAGGCTAAACATTGGTTTTTTAAGTGGTTAACCGAAACTGTTGGTTTTTTAAGAATATCAAACCGAAAATCGAACTGACCAGTTTGGTTAACCAATTTTTTCGTTCGGTTTCGGTCAGTTTTCTCGATCGGTTCGGTTTTTTGGATTTTTTTGCTCACCCCTAATTAAGATAAATTTCAATCTCTTAAGAAAGAATGATGGTTCTTGCGCTATTGCTTGTATTGCCAGAAATTTTCATGGGGAAGTTTTGGATTACAAAGCATACTCGGTGGGTTGCACTACAATCAACATGGTTGAAACTTGGGCGGCATGGGAAGCCCACAATATGGCCCAAAACTTTAGGTCTTTTCCTATTAGCTTTGGAGGAGACTCCCTTTTAGTTATCTCATGCTTGAAGAACCGGTGCGTCCTTCCGTGGAGACTAAAGAATATCATCAAAGAGTGCAGAAGATTAGTAGACAAGCTGGATCGTGGAGCTTCGTATTCCCATTCCTTTAGAGAAGCGAATCAAGCGGCAGATTCGTTGTCACTATTATGACGCATGTTGATTGTCTGTAAGTTTATCCCATATCATGTCTTTTTGGCATTATAATCTCACCCTTTATTAAACCTATCTATTCTATATATACATCAAGGTTGTCCACGTCACCATGTCTCTCCTTGCTTCAAAACCCCTTTCCTAATTTTCTATATATTTTTTTATTTTTTAATTCCACATAATTACCCATTAAGCTAAAAAGGAAACAACATAGGTTAAATTATCTCTAACAACCGGTAGATAATGAAACAAGAATTAGCTTTTCTAATGTCTAGCCAAGTGACACCACTATCCCCGACTTTCTCCTAAATTATCTCTAATTCCTATTTATCTTCTCCCCCACTTTTTATCTATATCTATCTAAAGAGAAGTTTGAATTAAAAAAAAATTAAGAATTATTTACATATTATAATGAAATTATATACTAATTAAATTTAAAATATTTATTAAAAACAAAAAAAAATAATTATAAAAGATTTAATAATATTCAAATTATTAATAATTTTATATTTTTACAAAATTATGTACTAACAATATAAATTATAATTTTATGGATTATTCAATTTAAATGTTATTCAAATAATAAAAATTTAATATTAAAAAATAAAATATTATTTAAATATTTCAACAACTAAATATCTTAAATAAAAAAATATTAAAAGTGGCTAAATAATTATATAAAAAGTATTTATATTATGTAATAAATTAAAAAAATATTAAATATTTTAGATATTATTTATATATTTTAAACAACAAAATATTTAATATAACTAAATTTTAAATAGTTAAAATAAAAAAAATTATGTAATAATTTAAAAAAATATTAAAAGTAGAAAAACAATTATAATATATTTCATAATATTCAAAATAGTAATAATTTAATA